ACACACACATTCATACAGCACTCTGCTACACACACATTCATACAGCATTCTGATACACACACTTTCATGCAGCACTCTGATACACACACTTTCATGCAGCACCGTACCACACACATTCATACAGTACTGTACCACACACATTCATAAAGCACTCTACTACACTCATTCATACAGCACTCTGCTACACACATCTTCATAAAGCACTCTACCACACACACATTCATACAGCACTCTACCACACACACACATTCATACAGCACTCTACCACACACATTCATACAGCACTATACCACACACATTCATACAGCACTACCACACAAATTCATACAGAACTCTAAAACACACATACATAAAGCACTGTACCACACACATTCACACAGCACTCTACCACACACATTCATACAGAACTCTAAAACACACATACATAAAGCACTGTACCACACACATCTTCATAAAGCACTCTGATATACACACTTTCATACAGCACTCTACTACACACACATTCATACAGCACTTTGCTACACATACATTCATACAGCACTCTGCTACACACACATTCATACAGCACTCTGCTACACACACATTCATACAGCACTCTGATACACACACTTTCATGCAGCACCGTACCACACACATTCATACAGTACTGTACCACACACATTCACAAAGCACTCTACTACACTCATTCATACAGCACTCTGCTACACACATCTTCATAAAGCACTCTACCACACACACATTCATACAGCACTCTACCACACACACACATTCATACAGCACTCTACCACACAAATTCATACAGAACTCTAAAACTCACATACATAAAGCACTGTATCCTGATGCATGCTCAATAATCCAGGTAGAAAAATCCAAGAAAGTTCAATCTGGTCCTCTGGACATTCAAAAAAACAAAAAACAAAACAAAGCAAAAAAATGTAGAAACGTTTCGTCTCTCATCCAAGAGACTTCCTCAGTCTGAGCTGCTGTTTTCAGCTCAGTCTCTTAAATAGCACCTTCTCAGAGTGGATCAGCCAGTTTTGCTGCTGACAACCAAAACCAACTGATCACATGCTCAAGAAGGACCATCAGCCTAACAAAGGATCATTAGCACACTGATGGCTGTTTACTATTCAAAGGGGGTTGAGTGATACCAGCAATCACAGCATTGTAAGAGGGGGACAATTGAACCCGGAGGCCTCCACCCCTGTTTAATGATGGACGGTTTCTTTTCACAAAGATGGCCTCCTTTACTCCTCTCTCAAACCATCGTTCCTCTCTGTCCAGGATGTGAACATCTTCATCCTTGAAAGAGTGACCGCTGGCCTGGAGATGAGTGTAGACCGCAGAGTCCTGGCCTGATGATGTTGATCTTCTGTGCTGGGCCATCCTTTTGGCCAGTGGCTGTTTAGTTTCCCCGATGTAAGACTGATCACAGCCCTCCTGACACTGAACAGCATACACAACATTACTCTGTTTGTGCCAGGGGACTGGATCTTTGGGATGAACCAGTCTTTGCTGTAATGTATTTTGGGGTTTAAAAGCCACTGGGACGTTATGTTTAGAAAATAAACGTCTCAGTTTCTCTGATACTCCCTCAACATACGGAATGATGGGTCTGGGTTCCTCCTTTTCACCTGATGGCTGACTGGAGTCCTGTTTGGGTTTCTTCTCTGCTTTCAGGAAGGCCCAGTTAGGATATCCACATTGCTCTAGAGCCTGTTTTGTGTAGGATTTCTCCTTCTGCCTGGCTCCTGAGCTAGTGGGGATGCTGTCTGCTCTGTGATACAGAGTCCTGATGACTCCTAACTTGTGCTCCAAAGGGTGATGGGAGTCAAACTGCAAATACTGGTCTGTGTGGGTGGGTTTGCGGTACACCTCGGTTTGCAAAAGTCCTCTATCAGAGACTGAGACCTCACAGTCCAAGAAAGCCAACTTGTCAATTTTTACATCTTCTCGTGTGAACTTGATGTATTTATCCACAGAGATGATGTGGTCAGTAAAATGTTGGACTTCCTGAGATTTAATTTTAACCCAGGTGTCATCAACATACCTGAACCAATGACTTGGTGGTGCTAATTTTAGCTAACAAGCTAACGACCGGACGCCACAGGAAGTTATAGCACCCCTAGTGGACGACACAAACAGTGTCTGAGTTAAAATTGTTGAGGTTCTGCTGACATCTTGTGGAGAAGACGTGGGATCGCAGGTTTTCACTTCGTTTTTAGGTAAAGAGTGACTTTAAACGTTTTTATTTTTCTGAAAGGCAATTTTTGAGTTAAAAAACTTCCTCAAAGCTGAATAAACACTGTTATCTTGCGTTTTAAAAGTTATGAAGGTATTTATGCAAGGGGCTTTTACCAAACAAATTTTTATTCACTGATAAATCCTTGAGAAACAGGTACATAATAAAAATTTAGAAACTTTTAAATAAGATACAGTTACAAATATTCACAGAGCTGAATAGTTTACTCATTTTGCTAGAAGATAACGCACGTTTAATTGATAAATCACTACATAAGGGTAAACTTATCAAGAAAAAGAGATTTTTCTGATTTTCTGTTACCACCTAAACATTTACATCTCCTATTTAATTTCTAAATAGCAGATAATGGCGGACGAAGATGTAAACGCTGACCCCTCACAATCCAGAGATGTTGTCCAGACAGCCTTACACATTTTAACAAATTCAATTCTTGGCAAAACTTTGGAGGAATTGCAAGACCTTGATGACGATCAAAGACACGAGGAGCTGCAGAGTTTATCAAAAGCAGCTACAGTGAAGGAGGACACAAAATCAAGCCGCGTACGGTTAGCAAAAATCTCTCTGCTTCTGAAGGCGGAATTAGACCGAGTGGTGGTAGAAAAGGGCGTGCTGTTCAACGGATATAAGTCTGAAAAAGAGAGGTGTGACGAATTGATGATTGAATCTGAGTCGCTGAAGCAACACCTTGAGGCTGCTGAAGACCTCTCACAGAAAGAGCTGTCAGAACAGGCTCAATCATATGAGGAGAAGTGTGCCGAGCTGATAAGTGAATCTGAGTTGCTGAAACAAAAGATTCAAACTGATAAGGACCTCTCAAAGAGAGAGCTGTCAGAACAGGCTCGATCATATGAGGAGAAGGTTGCGGATAAGGAACGAGCGTACGAAGCCGCGTGTGCAGATAACAATAGGTTACAAGCACAGTTGCAGGCCGGATTAAGGGAGCTGGACGATTGCAAGGCAGACAAGGAGATAATACTCCGAAATTGGCTGACTTTACAACGTGAAAATCAGTCAACACATAAGCGCCTGACAGCTTGTGAGGAGAATTTAGCTACAGCTACAAACCTGATTTCTGACATGGAGCTAGCTGGTTCGAGACCCAGAGACGAACAGGGTCAGCTACAACCACCCCAGACAGGTGCTGTTGCACCTCCTCCCCTTAGCCCCGTTTCAACACCCCCAACCCGGGGGATAAGGACGGGTCTACACCCACTTGCACCTCTTCCTCCTGACACCAGGCAGTCACCTCCACCCCCATCTCGGGCGGTGGGGACAGACCTGCACCGGTATGCACCTCTTCCTCCTGACACCAGGCAGTCACCTCCACCCCCATCTCGGAGGGTGGGGACAAACCTGCACCAATATGCACCTCCTCCTACCAACCCTTATCAGCCACCCCCACCCCCACCATGGGCAGTAGGGGCAGGCCTTGACCAGTCTGCACCACCAGTCACACAAGTTAGACCGGTGATACAGTCTCCTTCAATGGATGATTTGCAGAAAATCTCAAAATATGTACAACGCTTTGTTCCCGGGCCTATGGGGTCAGCAGGAACAAAAGCGTATCTCAAAGATCTGGAGTTCAGATTGAGGTCTTATCCTAATGCTACGGTAGACGATAAGATAAGTCTGATGCGGCTCACTTCAGACAGAGAGGTGTTCACCTT